TAATTTAATTGGCAATAATAAAATAAAATAACATAACATTCATAAATAATAATCACTCAATAAAATACAAAAAACTACAAAAATCATTTAAATGTTTAATTGTACCAAATTAACATTAATAAATAGAATCCAAGAAGCTTTGGGATCTAATTAATTCCAAGCAGGGAAGCTTCTGTTGATTAATTATTTATTTGATGAAATAATTTATTCTATTTTAGAAAGCTTTTTGAATTTTCTGGCCATCATCTATAGACCTTGTGATTCAAGAAATTGGTTTAACATTTATGAAGGCATACAGCTCAACCGACACAAATACATAAAATATTATCTTAGATTAATTCATGAAAATTTTACCTTTAGTTATCTTCAATTATAAAAATCAAAGAACTTAAATATAGAGTATCGATGTATTGAATATATGGGTAATTCTGATTAGTTAGAGACTTGTGATTGCAACAAAAAAAAAACAGAAAAAGAAAAGAAAAGAACACAGCACCACAACTTCCAGTAATTGATTGAGCTACATTTGGTGTTTTAGATCCCACGCTGCACTCTAGGTGTGAATGCCTTTTGATTCTATTATACTCAAAGTATTTCAGATCCTACATAATAGTAATTCCAGCAACCTAAAGCATATTTAACTGAATGAAAACAACAGCATAGAAGCAAAAAAAGAACTGCAAATCTGCGACCGTGAAGAACAAGGCGACATGCGACGACTTGCGACGAGATCGAAGAAGAGAAAAATAGAACAGCGATTAAAGGATTTGTGTAAAACCCTTTACCTCAAAACATTATAAACTCGTCGTAAAATCACTACTTGGTAGAAAAGGAAAGCTGTTAACATGAACTACCATAGTAGAAAGAAATTTGCATATTTTTAGAAATTGACTTTCAAACTTGGGTCAAACCCAAACTCCGTTGCATGCAACTAAAAATCATTCATTAACATCTACTGGGCCTCCGAGCCTCCGGCCTAGGTAACAAAAGACATCATATCAGCCCATCCAAATGGTTTTCAACAATCAGGCCGGGTAATCAAAATATTTCAAAAGGGGTCCTAGATGTGGCAATATATACTAGCCATACATATACAAGGGCTAGAGACCTAAAGCTAACCAAGCTCAAGCCTCTGTGTCTCTTCCCGATGACACACGCCTAGAATCTTCACCTGAAAACATTGTAAACCACGGGGTGAGACAAACGTCCCAGTAACCAATCTTTCCAATTCAAGGTACTACTAAATAGGTGCTCGTGAGGTATCAAGTGGGGCAGTTCACAAGTAATATGATAAATGATAGCCATACAAGTCATGCAAGTGCAATGATGCAATCCCATCAACCATATCCCTCACTTTGGAGGATTTTCAAGAGCCGAACCTGGCCTATCCCTCACTATGGGGGACGTAAGGAGCCATAGAAGGCCTATCCCTCACTCTGGGGGACGTAGGGAGCCATAGAAGGCCTATCCCTCACTCTGAGGGACGTAGGGAGCCAAAAGGCCAATCCCTCACTATGGGGGACGTAAAGAGCCAACCATCATGCATTAATGGAGGCCTTACCACGTGGTAGTAACAATCAAAACTCTCACCAATTCCCAATTCATGCATCATGCTCAAACCGTAATCAAATAGTAAATAATCATTTCACAATTAACTTCTTTCAGTGGCCTATCTTTCACAAGTTCCAGATTCAATCAATATCAGTTTAAATCCCACAAGACGGTTTTCCTTTTTAATATACAAAATACACTTTAAACACAGTTGTTACTCGGAGCACAAAACATAAATCCACTCACAATACCACAAAAGCATGTACAAAGGATTGGAAAGTGGTTACCTCTCGCCTGAGTAAGGAATAACAAACCAACAATACGGCCCCGTGCACCAACAATGCTCACAACGGGTCTACACAAACACACAACCATCATGTATTAGCTTTCAACTAATAATGTGGCCAAAACAACATTTGGGGACACAAAATTCCTAACTCCAACCAAACTCTACCTAACTCAAAAGGGTATAACCATCAAGGCAACACTCCAAGGTCATAAAATCCATTAAAACCTTAATTCCTTTCTAAACATCAATTAAAACTCATAACCTCAAGGACCCACTATAGGAATTCAACACTCAAACATCCCATTTGAACAATTGAAGTCTTAACAACATTCTAAACCGATTAAACATCTAATTTATCCCTCTTAACATAACCCAAATCACAAAACTCAAAATCAACCTCCACATTATCATTCTCAATCACAAACCTCCCATTTTCATAAACCCTAATTTCAAAAACTCAAGGTTCTTCAAATCCAAGAAAACTACACCGATTAAATACTTAGACTAATCCAAAGCAATCAATTAAACTCAAAACAATCGGTCAAAAACCTCAATTCCATAACAACATAGAAAACTCTAGGGCTTCACCATAAATCCTCAAAAATTCCAAGAAAGAAAGTAGATTAGAGGTTAAATTCACTTACTTGAGGTAATGGATCCTTAGAAACACCTTTCCCAAGCCACAACACCGAAACCCTAGCAAAGCTTCTCTCTCCTCCTTCAGATTTTCTAATTTTCGCACATCTGACCCCTCTAGCGACTATATAGATTCGACACCTTTTGCCACGGCAAACCCAGAACTTCGCCGCGGCGAACTAATCCCGAGAGGGATTACTCGCCTGAAAACCTGACTTCACCGCGGCGAACTTCGCCGCGGCGAAAGCTTCCCAAGAGGAAACTCTCGCTTGCGCAGAAAACCTTCCCAAGAGGGAAACCTGAATTGTGCAATTGTGCAATTGCACACAGCAGATGATATGTTGCACTTGCGTGCAATTGCACAATTCAGGTCCTTCTGCACAATTAAATTTTCAAATGGGTATTTTGCACCAATTTTCCCTAATTTATTTCTGTTGTTTCTCTTTTCAGCATTTCCCAAACTTAGGAGTAATGAACCTAACTACCTCAAAGCATATGATTGAGCTTCCAAATCAGTCTCAAGCCCCCAATATGAGTATGATATATCTTGATGAATGTGAGAATTTGACTCAAATTTATTCTTCAAGTAGCTTGAACAAGCTTTCCCATTTATCCATACGAGAATGCAAAGACCTAAGACATATAAACATTGTGGCAATATTAAGGAGACAAGTTCAGGGTTAGTAGCTGTCTACTATTTTCTGGATCTTAGCAACTCATTATTCCATAAATTGACTGTGAAGCTCTTCGTCTCAAATGACAGCAATATTTTCTCTGGGTTTTGGGTTAAACTTGTGTCAGTATTATTGTCAGAGATATTATTAGAAGATCAGCGCTTGAAAAATATGGAGAGTTCAAAGTTGAAATTGTCATCTTTACTTCCATTTGTTACTTCACTTCGCTGGTTAGACCTTACTGAGTTTGGCAATTTCATCGAACGTTTCAACTTTCTTTCTGAACATGCAGAGCTTAAGAATATGCTTTCAAAAGATGTAGTCAATGAACTCAGAGCAATGGTGAGAAAGCCATTATTGGAGCTTGAAGAAAAGACAATAACAGAAGAGGCAATTATAGATTATAACTCTTATCGTGGAAAGAGGAAGCCATTATTGGAGATTGAAGGAGAGATAATGACAGAAATGGAATGTTATTGTAGCAGTACTACAAGTAATAGATTATTAACCAGAAGAGTTCCTAATAACATCACAGGCTGGCCATTGTTCACACAAGTGACATTACAGAGAAGTGAGATTACTGGTACTCAAGTTCAGGACATTCCGGGGATTTCAATGTTGAAATCACTGGCAGGATCTAGTTGTTGCAAAAGGATTAAACCTATTATAGATATAAGAACCTCACTGGATAAAGAAGCAATAATATGGGGTGGCAATGATGATGATATTGCAGCAGCAGAAACAAAATGGGACATGCCTAGTTTTAGTATCGACATATGGCAAGAGTTGGCTGGAGATTTCTTTGTTCATTTTCCCATTCATGTAGATCATGACTCCATTTTGTTCCTCCTATGGTTTTCAAGAAAAAGTATCAGCAGGTGATTGACTTTTGATGGTTTTCAATATGCATCGATGTGTAGATATTGGTTTTTGTACTCACGTATTATTGCAAGACATCGACTCTATTGTTTTGCTCTATCTTTGATTCCTTTTTTGTTAAATGTAGCGTATGTAATCATTTTGTGAATGTAATGTGTGTATATAAGTAGGAAAGATCTTGTTTCCAAGAGACAGTTTTGATCAATTAGTTAATTTATATTCGTTGGTTTCAAATAAAAGATGCTCATAGGAGAGATATACTTAATTCAAAAATATACGTGACTGTTCTAATTTTTCTAGCTCATTAGTTGAACTTTTCCATTTTGACCTCTTGATATTAAAATCTATGATACTCCCTTGTTTCTAGACCTATCTAACTAATAACTGGTTAAAGTTAAAAAAAAAAAAAAAGTGTGACTTTACATCAAATACCCTTTACAATAATTATGTGAATGAGAATTCTTGTTGATACAGTAGTATGTGTTACGTTGTACAACACTCCTTGTGCCATTAACTCATCATCTTCAACTTCCAATCTCATCTTCTCCTCACTATCATTATCCGCTTCTCTTCTGAACGCCGCGTTCTCTGCCAAGAATCACCATCGCAAGAATCAAATGATCACGCCTATGACAATAGTCTCCATAATAACAATCATAGGAATAATGCATTTTGAAATTCCCAGACTCGAATCTCTAACTTGTAAGGTTTGCTAACAAATGGAAGTAAAGAAGCCAACTGTCTCCCTACTATGTCTCACATTGAGGATCTTCACAATTGAAATATGATTTATAAGTTTAAGGACTCTACTGCCAAATAGATTAGTCTTTTGGAATAGACTCCCTTTATGAACTTGTGCTCGCGATGGTCCCCAATTTTGACATCACTGATATCTCTAACACGTTCAAATCGAACATCAGAGACAGTCCCTCCTGATACAAAGATCTTCATTGTCACCTGGAATGAACTTGTGAAGATCCATATAATAGTGCACAATATCATTGTCAGTGCAACTTCTCCCTTTAATAGTGCCACCGATGTTTATTCGCTTTGGCCCATCATCTCTAAGACGCAAATAGGTAAGCTTACTAGGACAGTTTGAAGAATGGATTTGATCCAAACTTACACAGCCATCAATATTTAAGCATTCAAGATCTGGGGGCTTGAGACATATAGGAGTACGTACTTGATCTCCTTTCCAAAGTTGCCTTATATGACTACTAGGAATTTGAAGCTCAACAAGATTCTCCACACAAGAAGCTTAATGGCACATATGGTGAAGGATATTCTTCCCAACTAACAACCTTGAATTAGTTCACCTGGAAGATAACTCATGTCTTTACCCATAAGCAACTTTGAAGGCCCTCTCCCATCAGACCAATAAAATTTTAGAAATATTAAATTATGCATCTTTCGAAGGTCATTAATTGTCAATGGAATCCTTTTTATCTTGCTCATGTCCAATGACAAGCATCGAATAGACTCAGTCACCTAGTAAGCAAGTCAAAGGAAAAAAGAAAGAACAACGATTATTACATAAAAATTACCAAAATACCATAGAAAATGAGATAAAATAGTAATAGACAGATTAAATTATTACCTTGTTACAAATGAAAAAATCATAGATGTCCCTATGACTTCGCAGTCGAACAGAGCCTTTAGGATTAGAAAATGACTGTTGTCTAGCAATTTCAACGCCCATGTCCCTCACAAGATTATGCATTTCAATATAGCCATTGTGATCAAATGAAGTGAGGGATCTGTCTTTAAGAACATTTACGTCAATATCTACAGAAGAGCCATATAATTGTCCTATTAGGTCCAAAGAAACATCAACTTTTTCCTTGATGAAAAATGCTATGTCAAGAAACATATTCTTCTGGTCCCTATCAAGTCCATCAAAACTCAATTTCAGAACATCAATAATGTAATTGGGTGGAGTTTCTTCTATTTTTTCCAAAGAACTTTCCCATTCTTCTTTTCCTCTGCCCTGAAGAAAAGAACCCAACTTTACAAGGGCAAAAGGATTTCCTTGACAATAATCCACTACTGATTTTGATAGCTCCACATAACTTTTAAATGGCTCATTTTGCTTGAATGCTTTCAAACTAAAAAGATGAAGGGCGTCATGGAAATCCAATCTTGGGACAGAGTATATTGAAAATGCAAAAGCATTTTGAAGTACTTGCATGTCTCTTGATGTGAGAATAATTCTACTTCCTTCTCCAAACCAATGATACACTTTAGTTAAATCCTCAGCTGGTATTGAATTGTCCACATCATCAAGTATCAGAAGAATTTTTTTGCGTCGAAGCCTATTTCTTACAAAAGTGGATTTTATGTCAAAGACATTAATGTCCTCATCTTTTATTAATTCTTTGAGACATTCTTGTTGTAATCTGTCAAACCCAATTATTCCTTGTTGTTTTCTTACATTTTCAACAAAGGAGAGAGCGTTAAACTGTGCTTTCAACTTGTGGAATACAGCTCTAGCAAGAGTAGTCTTACCCATACCTCCCATACCCCATATTCCCACAATGCGAGCTTCATCGAGTAGCTCTTCAATTTTCTGGATTTGATGACTAATCCCAACTAATCCTTCTAGATGAAAGGACGGCTTGCTATTCAATTTGCTCAGAATATCTTTCACAATCTTTTTGATGAGTTTGGGTTCAGTCCTAGCATCAATATAAATTAAAAGAATGATCATGTTTAATGCCCAAAGAAAGAAAATATAAGTGATGAATGAGTAGAAGCTGCTACCTGAAATTCTTTGAATCCCATCCAGAGAGATTTGTTGATTGGTTCAAAGCTTTTTTCCACTCCTGCACTTTTTCTTCGTTGTGCTTAAATCTTTGCTTAAGCTTAGCAAATCCATCTCCAAAACTCCCTTCTTGTTTGCGAATATTTGATGGATCAACGTGGTAGAAAATAGGTATGACATCCCTTTTGTATTTATCCCGACATTTCATAATATGAACGAGTTCATCCATACACCATGTTGAAGAGGCATAATCTTTAGAGAAAATAATCAAAGATATCTCTGATTCCTCTATTGTTTCCAAAAGAATTGGTGAGATGTTATCTCCTTTGTGGAGCTTGTGATCCATAAAAGTATGAATGTTTGCATCGCAAAGTGCTTCATAGAGATAACTTGTGAAGTTGTCATGCGTGTCTTCCCCTCTAAAGTTAAGAAAGACGTCATACTTGGTTGCAAGAGGAGCATCAATGATATGAGAAGGAGAAGAAACTGTGGGAATCGGATCATCAACAACATCCTTACCACTACAGATGGAAAGAAATCATGAATAATATTGCACTAACAGAAAAACCGAACAAAGAGAAATTGCTATAGAGGATGTTACCTATCATCAACAGAAATAGGATGGGTAGCATGAAGTGGAGAGATTAATCTGATAGCTTTAGAAATTGCTATTGCCAGCAAAATCAATACAGCTTCTATGAGCATTAAAACAATGGTTGCATCCATGTCACAGTAATTCCTTGCTTCAACCTCAGACTAATCCTTGTTTTTTGGCTTTACCTTCTCATGAGGTGCTATGGTTTGGCTCTTGGTTCACGTGATGATAAACAGATCTAACAAAAATATTCAGCAAGTGCACAATACACAATATCTTAGGTATCGTTATCCTAATATGTTATAGCATCTTCTGAAGACGCGGATCTAATACTATTGGGCTTCACTGATGACCTTGGTTATTGGACTTCCATTAGGCTATTCTGTTAACAAAACCAAAACAATAGACCAGCGTCCAGGGGTCTGAACTGTGAAGTGAAATATAAAATTCGTAAAACAGCTTGTTGAACTATTGAGGTTGAGGGACCTAACAGTACGGAAAAGGGTATGAAACCGTTTTCTTTTCCAAGGGAGCAAAATTTCCAGAGAGGCATCCGCCGACCAGAAATAAAAATGACTAAGAATTCACCGAACAATGGGTACTCCTAATTCAATGTAGTTTATGAGGATTATACAACATACACGTAGTAAATATAGCATTCAGATCTCACGTGTTTATGTTCCATTAGATACGAGTAAAAGCAGACGACTGCAAGATAAAGATTTAACACTAGAAGAAGAAACTAGCAGGAGTTTTGCACAATTCGTAGGTAAAATAGGAGATGGATGGGATGAAGCAAGTGAATGAAAGAAGAGAAATGCGTTAGGCAGTACTAACCTGGATCTGGAGGAAGCAGAAGAAATAGCTCACAAAGATAGCAAAAATGGCGGCACCGGGATCTGCAGCTTCCTCCTGATCTTCAAAGAGATCAACAGTTGAATTTCTTCGAAGCAAGAGTCTGCGCGTAGCGTTGCCGTGTAAATTCTAGCTTTTTTCTTCATCCAGTCCACACATCTTCCACTTTGGAAAATAATACTCCTCCTGTCCTTAATATAAGACCCATTTAATTAATTTGATTAGATTAAAGAAATTAGGTAAGTTAGTTAATTATAAGAAATGTGACACATTTTTCCTAAAACACCATAATCATCTTTTTTAATACCCCCTCTTCCTCTTCTACTTAGTTATGGTTGAGGAGTATCTATAGGGGTAATTTAGCGAAAATTGATAAATATGAAAAATGGGTCATATATTTAGGACCAAAACCAACTCAACAATTGGGTCTTATATTAAGGACCGGAAGAGTAGTAACATATTGTTAGGTAATTAATTTATTGTCAAAAAAAGTTTATTAGTATCGACAACAGCCTGCTGTTAGTTACTCCCTCCGTTCCTTATTATAAGAGACGAATAACCGAATTACGTTGATCAAAAAAACAGTTAAAATTAGTTAAGAACAATTAATGTGTAAAAAGTATAATTTTTTTTTCAAAAATGCCCTCATTAATAAGGAGAGAGAGCATGAAAGAGAACAATAGTAAATTCTTAAAAGAAAGAGAAGTGGGAAGGAGAGAGAGTGTGAGTTGGAGACAATAAATATGGGTAAAATAGGAAATCAACACAAAAAAGTAGAGACAACTTTTAAGTGTCTCTTATATTTAGGAACATGCTATAAACATCAAATGTCTCTTATAATAAGGAACGGAGGAGTACTATTGAAGAAAGGATTTAAAGACAAAAATAACAATTGATAAAACAATTCCAAAAAAAAAAAAATGAAGTCAAGTTAGGCTGCATAAAAAACCATGGAAGGCTTATTGCAGTTCTTTGTTCTCTACATGTTGAGAGATTCTCTATATGCTGAGAGATTCAGTACTTTAGTTTTTAAATTTTTTTCCTCTAAACATAGGCCTCCCTCTATTAAATGTAATCATATTTAAGATATTATTAGATACTAAATATAAATATCTTTCTCAGCGGAGATTTGAAGTTACAAAGGGATTAATCCTTTTCACTTTGTTAACCTTTCATGGAGTGTTGTTAGTTTGGGCCAATGGCCCACATATAACCTTTAATCTCAACTCAAATGGCATCTTAACTGATTTAATTTTTTTTTTTGGAACTGACCTTAACTGATTTAACCATCCCACTAATTTCATAACATTGCATTATCCTACTGATATCAGACCCCACACACACACAGATCAAATGCATTTCCAAAATGTTGTTCAACTAACAATTTTTTTTTGGCTAAGTACTCCTCTGGTCCTTAATATAGGACCTAATTGTTGAGTTGGTTTTGATCCTAAATATAAGACCCATTTCTTATATTTATCAATTTTTTCTAAATTACCCCTATAGATACTTCCTCAACCATAATCAAGTAGAAGAGGAAGAGGGGGTATTAAGAAAGATGATTATGGTATTTTAGGAAGAACGTGTCACATTTCTTATAATTAACTAACTTACCTAACTTCCTTAATATAATCAAATTAGTTAAATGGGTCTTATATTAAGAACCGGAGGAGTATATGCATTTTGATGTTTGTGTATGGCCTGATAATTCATATGCTACTTCAATACTTAAGTCCTACATTGTTTGGTGTACATATTTTATAATTAAATATGTGTAGATTTTAAGATATATTATATTAATAAATTTATAAATATTTATAGCTATTTAATTTATTTTATATATTGTTCTCCGTAAATTTAATTGTTAGGTAGAATAGAATTTAGATAGAAATTTTATTCATATTCTCTCATTTTGTACAAGAAACATGACAAATGGAGTAGGGAAAAAAGTATTCAAAGAAAAGAAATTAAAAAAAAAAACAGAGAGATAACAGGCAAGAAGCGTGGATGCGGCAGCCGTAGGAGAAGGAAAAAATAAATGAATTTTAAAAAGGGAGAATTACATTTAAGTCCCACATAAGAGAAATAATCACTACAAAGTCCCAAGTAATAATCTGAGCAGCCTGTAATAACAAGTCCTACAGTGAGAATAACAACCTCTGGGACTTGTTTTTTAATTACTTGGGACCTCATTGTAATTCTCCCTTTTAAAAAAGTCAATTATTATCTGAGCAAGACTTCATTTACGGTATAAAAATAGGGAAAATTTCATTGTACACCCTTTGTAGCAAATTTATATGAGATTTCCTTCAAAAGTTTCTGAAATTTCACTCCAACCCCCGGACCAAAATGAAATTAAATTTTTATAAGTAAAATGACATTTTTGCCCCTTGCTTGTTTTCCATTTTTCCCCTTAAATAAAGGGCCACTGTTGCTGTGGTGGGAGCTCTAGACACCGATGATTGATTGGATCTCTAATCAATCCACTGGTGGTCGAAGCTCCAATGGCTGAAAATATGTTTGTTGTTAATTGCCTTATTTTTGGTGTAAATACCCTTATTTTACTTGTTAATGCAAATATTAACACTTGCATTATGGGAGTTGTTAATTTTCTTATATTTGTTGTTAATCGCCTTATTTTTATTGTAAATATGTTCATTATATTTGTTAATGCTGACATTGACACTTGTATTTATATGAGTAGTTAATTCCCCTATATTTGTTGCTAATCTCCTTAACAAGTGGAATAAAGGGATTTACGACAAAAATTTGGTGACAAATAACAAATATAAAGGATTTAACAACACCTTTGAATGCGAATGTCTAGATATACATTAACAAGTCCAATAAACAAATTTACAACAAAAATAAGATGGTTAACAAAAAAAATAAGGGAATTAACAACTCCCATAAATGTAAATGTCTAGATCTACATTAACAAGTGGAATAAGAGAGTTTATAACAAAAATAAGGTTCTTAACAAGAAACATAAGGGAATTAACAACTCTTATAAATGCAAATATCTAGCTCCGCATTAACAAACAAAATAAGTGGATTTGTAACAAAAATAAGGTGATTAACATAAACATAAGTGAATTAACAACTCCCATAAATGCAAGTGTCAATATCTGCACTAACAATTGAAATAAGGAGATTTACAATAAAAATGAGGTGATTAACAACAAATATAATCAAATTAACAACTCTCACAATACAAGTATCAATGTTTGTATTAATAAATGAAATAAGGGAATTTATAACAAAAATAAGATGATTAAAAACAAACATATTTTTCGGTCACTGGAGCTTCGACCACTAGCGGACAGAGATCCAGTCGATTGTCGGCTTATGGAGGTTCGGCCAGTAGTCAAAGCTCCGGCGATGGGCCTTTTAATTGAAAGAACAAAAGAAAAGAAAAACAATCAAATGGCATATATGTATTTTCACCTATAAAATTTAATTTCATGTTGGTCCAATGGGTGCAGTAAAATTTCAGAATCTTTTGGAGGGAATATGATATTAATTTGCTAAAGAGGGGTTGCAGTGAAATTTTCTCATAAAAATATAAACCACACTTTTTTATATTAAATGGACAAATTCGTTGACCACGGCTTATTCTACTTGTAACAATACACGACTTATAAGACCAACTAACGCACAGGAAACAATCAAGTTTTGTTTCAAGGATTAAAGTGGTAAGTTCAAACAATCAAAATAGAAGTTATTTGAGAAAATTATTACTAACATGTTCTATCTCATATATAACAAAAAATAGTTGTTAAATAAACAGAGGTAGGAAGAGTAATACTCCCTTGATCTTTGATAGAAGATATATCTAACTAATTTAATTATATTAATGAAATTAGTTAAATTAGTTAATACGATTTTTTTTTTCTAAAACGCCCTAATCATCTTTCTCAATTCTTTCATTCTCTCTTACTTGATTAAAGGACACCAATAAAGACACTCTGGAAAAAATAGATAAATATGAAAACTAAATTTTATATTCATCGTAAAGATTAACTCCCCAATTAAGTCATATATTAAGGACCGGAAGAGCATTATATAATATTACGGAAAACACATATGGCAATAATTAATGATAAGTAAGCATAATTATTAGTACTATTTAACCTAAAATGATTTAACTTTGAACCACATAAAACATTTTTTTCTCACACAAAAATATTCAAAACATAATTGTTTGAAGGGCTTTATGTCAAACAGTTGTTTGGTCAATGGCTATGCCCCATGTTCCGTTATCAAAAAGAAAGATTTTGGCAAAACCATATAGAAATATAACGTATGTCAAATTTATTGACTTTGAAAATTAAATACACATAATATCTTTGGTCAATGGGCTTTACAATGCATTGTTCTTGTCTCAGTACGCGGCAAGGTGGTACGACAGAGAAAAGAGCATGGGAAAGCGTATGAATTGGGTAAGGGGATTCTATGACTACATGACTCCTTATGCTTCAAGCATATGTGAATTATAGAGAACTTGGTCTGGGGATGGAACAATTCAATGGAACAAGCTTCCTGAGGTCAAGCACTTGGGGATTCACGTAGTTTAATAAGGATAATTTTATAAGGATGGTCAAAGTGAAGTCTAAGGTTGATCCAAGTAATTTCTTCAGGCATGAGCAGAGTATCCCTCCATCTCCATTATTGGAAAGTAACAAGGATTAAACAAGTGAAAATCTTTATTGCAATTTATTTCATATTGTTTGTGTGTATGCATATGCTTCAAGCATTATGCAAAATAAATTATTGGCATTCTAAAAAAGGTGTATCACCATGATCATTCATGATTGTCGATCCATGTTTACTTAATTACTTTGATGATGATATTAATTCTTTAAACAATTGTCTGATTGAGGCTCCTTAATGTCGAATAGCATTGCACAAGAGGGATTTTCTTAAAATTGTCATTTATTTTTAGAGTAAAATATATTGACATCCCTTCAATTATGTCTTAATTATACAGACCTTCCCTCTATTTTAAAAATATATAGTTTCATCCAATCTCTTAACACAGTTAGAAATATTCTCAAAATAAATTTTATTTACCATTTTACCCCTTTCTAATAAATCACTACCTATATTATTATTTTTACCGTTACATAAATCTTATTTAGAGAAAAAGAAAGAAATAAGATGACTTTATTTTGTATTGCATATTTTGACTAAAATCATTAGAATAAAAAATTGTGTTTAATCCGGCCAAAAAAATTTATGTTTGATATATATTTTTAGCCATTTAAAAAATAAAATAAATAAATTTAAAAATATAATAAAAAATTAAAATTACAAATTTTTACAATAAATCCAAAATTAATTAATTTTATAATATATTAAAAAGTTTTAAAATTTATGTATTATAACTATTTTTTGTTGTATAAAGTTTTTTGGGAATATAAATGCTTAATTAATTCTAATGATAAAGAGGGGTATTTTGGTCCAGAAAAAGGTTTGAAAGTTAGACTAACGGTCAACTAACGGTTTGGGTAGATGGAAATGGAATCTTAAATATATAGGAGAAATTAGTGTAACATGTATTTTGATTTTGAGAGAGGTCCATATAAATTTTCAAAATACAAGGGAGGTTTGGGTAATTAAGGTAAAATTGAAGAGCTAGAGTATTTTACTCTTATTTTTATTGTATATGAACAACGTTTTATGGAATGGAATGCTAATTTTGCTTTTTAATATGTAATTCACGGAAGGCTTCCGCAATACTGGTGCTTTATAAATTACTTAATGTTGCTTCACAATTGCTGCGGGCTCTATTGTGTGCGTTACTCTCCATACGTGTATGACTTAACCAGAGAAACAATTTTCGTTGATAAAACTAGCATATATGATTTTTCATAATTTGTCATATGTAGAGTATCCTTTAACTTATAATACAAATTAAAACATGTATTTCCCAAATCTTGACTACATAGAGTTTGCAAAATGGATATTTGTCAATTTTGAAATCACAAGCAGAATCTGATTACTGCAAAAGGATTCATCAGACTCTGATACATGTTACACAGTATCTGAATATCAATAAGCATCACAAAAGAGCGCCAACAGTTAAACTCCTCTCGGAAACACAATCCCAGCCCGCTGTACTATATATTCATTCACATTTCCATGCCCATCACAATTCTCAAACCAGACACCTCACTTTTATTCAATAAACCTATTAGGCCCTATGCTATGGCAAAGTTGAGTCTTGAGAAAGACCTGGGAAAAGAATGTCGATTATTCTCTGAGATTCCTCAGGAAGTTGTGCGTGTGGCAAGAGATGAAGAGGCGCAGATGATCTGGAGAGACACGGGTTGAGGATGTTAGTTTTGTGTTGGTTTTGTCTTTTCTTGTTCTAGGCCCTGGGCCTCCATACTACCCAAAAAAAAAAACCTATTAGGCCCCAACCTAGGCCGAACAATAGTAGAATATCCATCGATGGATAGAATATAGGGAGAATCACTGCAAGATCAAGCCAAGGAAGCTATTTACCGAAAAGTCTTAGAAAATGTTTAAACTACTAAAAAGTCCCTTGGGACATAAAAGTAATAGGTGAAAATAATGCAGTTATTATTATGTTCTCACTTGTCAATGCCTGACCTTCATATGTCAATTGTTGGATAGTCACTTGTCAATTTCTGGACCATCAGTTGTCACTTGTCAATTTCTGGACCATCAGTTGTCAATAGTTGCTTGCGTCATGAGAGTTGTTTAATATGCACATACCGAGCCAGTTGTCAATCCCAGAACCCACACTTGTCAATTGTTGGACAATTACTTGCCAATGTCTCGGCCTTGAGTTGTCATGTTTGGTTAGTTAATTAGAATTTATACTTAGTTATATTTTGATGTGCAGTAGCTTGTCAATTTTTTTTTTCTCTCACTTGTCAATGCAATATCATATTGACAGAACATATTGTCATTGCATGAACTCTCACTTGTCAATAGTTGAGTTTACAGATCTAATTGTCAATGCCAAGACCATCACTTGTTAATGCTTGGTTCCTTACTTGTCAATGAGGATAGAATGATCATTGCATTATTTTCAGCTCTCACCCTCATGTCTCAAAGAACTTTTTAATTGTTTAAATATCTTTTGGGACTTTTCAGTAAACATTTTTCTTGACTAGGACAGTGATTTTCCCTTAAATATATTTAGCCACAATTAGAGTCGGTAACATAGGTTGAGCCACCTAAAAATGGCAGCTTAAGGCTTGGTCAAATGCCACCTTTTCAAGGGGACAGATTCTTCCAACCCGTGACGCTTGACCTACTGGTTCGCCCGCATTGTCGGCTATAACCATAATAAAATGCTTTCAAAATTAAATCTCGAGGAATATTCTTATTTAATGGCTCCCGATAATTCATCAATTCCTTGGGAGTGATGCTGCTGTGATACCTTGTTAATGTAACACTGTTATTACTATCATAATATTCCGTTGACGTGGTCGTAGTTGCCATCGTTGTCGCCATAGCCGCCACTTGTGTTGTAAGTGGTAGGTCATTATCTGTGGCAAGGGAGTAAAAAGGATCGGTATAATGCAGATGGTAGTTATAATGTTGGTTGAAATCATCAATTGCACTCTCCGACCATTCAACTCTCTTCACATATGGAAGTAAACACTCCAATCTCTGTCTCAATTCTGCATTCTCTTCCACGTGTTTAAATCCAACACCCGACATGATCTTGCCACGTACCTCGACCTTCATTGACAAATTATCGCAACCGTCCAAACTATAACTGCGAACAATCTCAAACCCTGATGGACTAAGCCCTTCCATTCTAAAAATGCCCTCAATGTCCATCTCCAATGGCCTACTATCTTGTATATATAGGGTCACATTCCTTCCCGAGACATCTGAAGAATAATGGATATGAGCCAAACTCACACAACCATCAAGACACAGCTTTTCAATCTTAGGGGTATGGCATAGATCTGGGATAGCAGTGAGATCTTTTGAATACTGTACATCCATTCTCCTTAGATTTGGAAAATGCTGAAAAGTAGAAAGCACTTTGCATTGTGAATGATTTAATCTGGTCAGTGTTTGATGCGATCTATGAAAAATGATAGTACATACCTGAGTCCCATTGCCCAGTTGTCGGATATTACTATTAGGTGTTCCAAGGATAACAAGATTCTCGGCACAGAAATGCAATGGTACATATGGTAGTGGATATTCTTCCCACCTAAAAAACCTTAATTCTTCTGGGAGATAATCCAAATGTCCAAAAAGGTTCAGCTTTGAAGGCTTTCTCCTTTGATCTGACTTGTAAATTCTAAGGAATATTAAATTGTGCATTTTTTGAAAATCACTAGACCTCCATTTAATCATTTTCATCTTGCTCATGTCTAATGACACGCATCGAACTGCCTCCACCGTCGCCTAGTAATAACAAGTTAAGGGAAACAACAGTTAAGTATATCTGCTTTCAGAAATATGAATATTAATGACGTTATTGTGCATTTCATTAAAAAATTCCTGAAAATTCATGTTTCCCTGATAATAAATTATTTTCCAAAATTTAAGAAGATTAATAAATTACACCCAACACAAAGGCTCTGCACCCGAACCAATTTTAATCAAAGCAGGGAACATTTTTTTAAAAAAAAAAAAACTACTTAGACAAATATTGAGACTTACAGAGGATTTTAAATTTCTAACGAATGAAAAATAAATTTTTAGGAAAATAAATGACAAGAAAATAAAAATAAATTATTACCTTGTCATTGTTGAAAAAACGATAAATATCCTCGTGCCTCCATAGTCGAATGGGTTTTTCTGGGTTAGATATGAATTGTTGCCTAGAAATTTCAAGCCCCATGTCCATTAGAAGAGCATGCATCTCAATATCACCATTTTCATTCACTAAAATGAGGGATCTCTCTTTAAGCACACATATGTCAATATATGCAGAAGAACCATATAAGCTTCTTAAACAATCTAGAGAAACCCTCCATGCTCCTCCCTTCAAGAAAATTGTAAGGTCAAGAAATACATTCTTCTGCATCTCATCAAGTCCATCAAAACTCAATTTTAGAACACTAAAAATGTCTTTATGTGGGGCTTGTTTTAGTTTTTCCAATGCACTTTCCCACACTTCTTTTGTTTTTCGATAAAGAAAACAACCCAACACTACAAGAGCTAATGGATTTCCTTGACAATAATGACTCACAACAAACTTTGATAACCCCAAATAGCCTTTAAATGGCTCATTTTGCTTAAATGCTTTCAAACTGAAGAGATTTAGAGCATCATTGAACTCTAATCCCTTAACATGATATGTTGTACTTGCAGAAGAATTCTTAAGAATTTGCATGTCTCTGGAGGTAACAATAATTCTACTTCCTTCTCCAAACCAATCACACAACTTGGTTAAATCTTCTGCTGTTAATAAATTGTCCACATCATCAAGTATCAGAAGGATTTTCTTGCGTTGAAGCCTATGTTTCACAAAAGTGGATCTCATGTTGTAGATGTGAAGGCCCTCATCTTTTAATAATTCTTTAAGGCATTGTTCTTGTAATTTTTCAACTCCATTTCTTGCAAGTTGTTCTCTTACATTTCCAACAAATGAGGAAGCTTCAAATTGTGATTTCAATTTGCCAAACAAAGCTTTGGCAAGGGTAGTTTTACCTATACCACCTGTGCCCCATATTCCTAGTATCCGAGCATCAATCAAGAGTTCTTCTATTTTCTCAATTTGATGATTAATGCCCACGAGTCCTTCAACATGACATGATGATGTTGATGATGTATAGTAGTTCAGTTTGCTCAAGATATCTTCCACAATTTCTTTAATGAATTTGGTCTCAGGCCTAGTAAAAATTCATATTTTTTTAAGAAAAATATTCAGTATAAAAATGTCAAGAAATTAGGTAGACTAATGAAATTAAAATGGATTAGCAAATTTACAGTCTTATGGTCCTAAATATAAAAGCTAAATAATTAATTTACAGAGAATAAGAAAATTGGTTAAATTATCTATTTGTAAATAATGTATATCTATAGTTTCACTAAAGTATCCATTTTAATTATTTCTTGGTGTCTCGAGACCTCCAAATTAAATCCTTATGATTTTACTATGAAGACTAAATTTGTTAATACCATTTTAATTATTTCTATTGACTACTCTCTTGATCAAAAACCCCCCAATATGTGCAACTAATAAGGCAATAGTTTAAGAAAAAAAGAATATAAATTTAGTCGATAAATTGAATTGAGGTCTTACACTTACCATTAATTTGGATGAAAAGAAAATTGAAAAGAAAAGAATATTATGAAGGATAACTCCTAAAAATAGTTAACAAAAATTATTACTTTTTGAGGTTTTTCTTTGTAGTATTCTCTCCCTGATTTTCCTAATTCTCATTTTTCCCCATTCACACCAAACTTTAGAATCAAAACAAACATAGCTCTTACTATTTAAGATCGAAATGAGTACTAAAACTCTATTAGACATGATCAAATTAAAGCTCTACTTTCTTTTTTTTTTTTTTTAATATATACAAGGCACGTGATCTACACTAGTATATCAAAGAATGACTAGAAGGTACCTGATATTCGTGGAATCCCATCTAGAAGAGAGGCTTGTTGACTGGATCAAAGCATTTTCCCACTTATGTAGTCTCTCTGGGTTGTCTTTAAATCTTTGCTTCAGCTTAGCAAATCCATATCCAAAGCTCCCACTTTGTTTGCTAACATTTGATGGGTCAACTTTGTAGAAAATAGGTACCACAATCCTTCCAAATTTTTTCTTACACTCTAATATGTGAACAAGCTCATCCAAACACCAAGTTGAAGAAGCATAATCAGCAGAGAAAATAATCACAGAAATCTCTGATTCCTGTATGGCTCTTAGAAGAATGGGTGAGATATCATCTCCTTTGTGGAGTTTGTGATCCATAAAAGAGTGAATGTTTGCTTTACAAAGTGCTTCATAAAGATAACTCGCGAAATTTTTGCGAGTGTCTTCGCCTCTAAAACTAAGGAACACATCATACTTGGTTGCAGGAGGAGGATCACCAACAGCAATACGATCAGAAGAAGAAACTGTTGAAACTGAAGCATCTTCGCCTTTACAACTATAGACAGACATAGATAATTATTGGTCAATGGAGCAAGAAAATAAAGAATATAAAATTAATCTGGGGATTATATATTAATAATCACCTGATCTGATGAACAACGTGAAGGGAAGGACAGAGAAATCTGAGAGCTTTATTAGTTGCTATAGCCAATAAGATCAACAAACCTTCTATGAGCGTTAAAGCAATGGTTGCATCCATGTCAATATAATCTCTTGCTTCAACCTGAAACTAATCCTTGTTTTTTTTTTTTTCAGCCTTACTGAGAAATGATAAGGGTTCTTGATCAACGCGATATACAGAGATTAAGCAAAAATATAAAATATTTCCAAAATGGGACAAACTTGCGAATGATCAACAGCGACTAGTTAAGTCCACCCAACATCTTTACTTATTTATTGTGCAAAATACTCTAGCTACCTTTACATCTTGTCTTCTATTTTAAAAATATACACCTAAGTTCGAGCTGTCAACTATATTAAAAATATTTTATGTAATTATTTGTTTAATATTTTTATCATATTGGGACAGAATGTAAACTAAATTAGTTAATATAGACTAAAAAACTTGATTCAAAGTTATACTTGAAAAAAATAAAGAACTCGAGCAGTTTGCTTTTGCATTGACTTCTTTAAAAAATTCTGAATAAGATAAATGAAGATCTTAGTCAATAGATCAGGTCTACAGATCTACGACAGTAAGGTAGCCAACAAGGAAGAGCCAAAATCAACAACAAATCTTTTTTCAGAATTTCCCTGAGAAAAATCCGGGGAAAAAGGGCAAGCAAAACAGAATAATAAATAAGTGAAAGAGAAGAAATAACCTGGATCGATGTAGAGGGAAGCGAAAGAAAGAGCTCAAAAATGGCAGATTCAGGATTTGCTGAGATTTGCTTTCTCTTCAAAAAAGATGCCTCTCACCTATTTATGTCTGTGGGGTTGCCGTGTTGCAACTTGCAATGCTGTTCCAACAATGATGTCAATTTTATAAAACTAATATCCGGGAGGCAATTCACATGTTTTATCTTTCACCAGAGAAAAAAAAATCCATATTATATTTATATATAAATATTTAGTGGTAGGTGTTATTATGAGAAAAGGAGAGAAGCAAGGAAACGTGTGAAATTTTTTAAAGGTAAAAGTACAATTTTAACACTAAACTTATATAGCAGGGACATATAGTATCATTAACTTTTTAGGGGTGCAAAGAATATACATAAACTTCATAAAAAGGAGCAAAATTATCATTTCGGTCAAGAGAAAATTAATGAAAAATACTCATTTAAAAATTTAATTATACAGAAAGACCTGTATTAATTTTCTCTTCAGTTAAAATGTTAAATGTTCCAAACGTCCGTTCCAGTCTCACCAAATGTAACATTCTCTCTCTCCTCCTTCATCTCTCTCTCTCTCCTTCTCTCACAAACCTTCCTCCGTCTCCGGCGTCCACCCACTGGTCTCTACGAAGAACTTGGAGGCCGCCTATGTTATCTTGTAGAAGAAATGCGAGGGACGACGGATTTGAGTGCTGGGTTGTATATGTTTTGCTTACTCACAAATTTTGACGAAATGAAAACCTTTGCTCTCCTTTTTGAAAGCTTGCTTCTCCTCTTCTCTTCTTCAATCTCGTGTTTAGGGGCTTTAGAGACTGTACTGATATCCCTGTAATTATCCACTTCTTCACTTCTGATTCTAACCCCGATTCTCTCTGTGACTTTTTGGAATTGGCCGAAAGAATGAAACTCGATTCTTGCCTGAGAAACTGAGAACGAAGGGGATCGGGAGTAACATAGGCGGTAACAGAACAAAGAGGGAGGGAGGGAGGGAGGCAGGGAGGGAGAGAATGTTAACGGACGTTTGGAGGTATGGTAATTTTGCTCCCTTTCACAAGGTTTATATACCGGTCCTAATTATAAGACTCAATTGATTTATTTGAGAAGATTAAGGAAGTAAGTTAAGTTGGTTATTTATAATAAATAAGTGTTGTCATTCTTAAAATATCCTTGCTAATTAAGTATATTGGCTAAAACTATCATTATTAGAAGGATTATCTTGAAAAAAAATACATAAATATAAAAGACAAAATGGATTGGGTCTTATAATTAGGACCAAATAAAAAGTCAAATTGGGTCTTATAATAAGGACCGGAAGAGCATATTTTTACAACTCTAGAAGGATAATTGTGCCATATGCCTATAGCATATAAAGTTATTGTTAAATTTACACTTTTCTCCTTCTTTTTTTTTAATTAGGAATGAGGGGGCGTACAGAAAGAGAGAGAATGGGGAGGGAGGATTTGCGGGGTTACTTAGAATATCTGCCATCTTTTCAGAAAAAATAGTTAAAAAAGAAAAAAAATTAGAGCTGAAGAACTCGTTCTCAAGAACAAGTTCTTTGTTGATCTAAAATTCACTTTGCCAAGAACAATTTTGCCTATAGCATCCTGATAGTCGTTGCAGAATTTTTTCAGAGAGAGAGAGAGAGAGAAGAATGGAAGTATTAACCTGTATGTGAAGGGAAGATCGTTCACAAATATCGCAAGATACTTCCACCGATCCTGATCTTTAAACAGATCTACAGTTGGCTCTCAACCTGTAGAGTTCATATATATATAAATAAAAGAAAGTATATGCATATAAAAATAAATGAACTGGTCAGAGGACGTGGAAATGTGATTAGATTTCTTGCTTCAATAACCTCCAACTTTAAGCCATCTGAAACTAATTATTAAGTCCTTGCTTTTCAGCCTTAGTGAGAAACAATATGGTTTGGTGTCTTGATTAACGTAACAATAGAGATCAAACAAAAATATTTCCAAGGTGGGACGAAAGAAATAACCTGGCCAATGTGGAGAGAAGCGAAGGTCTCAAAAATGGCAGCTTCAGATTTTGCGGACTTGATTTCTCTTTTCAGATTCAGAGATCAGCGAATGTGAAATGCCTACCTCGTATGTTTATTCCTTGCTTCAGCCTTTGTGGTGAACAAGTCAAGTAAACTAAAGTCCTCCGGCGTATTCGTCGCTTTTGTGGATTGCCGTGTTGCTTCATTCGTATCTGTCACTTTTGTAATCTGGGGGGCCTAGTTTATGGGGGCATGTGTTCTCTTTCTCTTCCTAAATATTTCGAAAGGGGAGCCAAATTGAGCATGATTAACGGCAACTAAGTCCACCCAACACCTTTACTTGTTTATTTTATGTTTCTAGAACAAGTTGCGGTGAATAAAAGTAAACGTGTATTCATGGCTGTTGTTCCTTAATTTCTTTATTTTGTCTTTTACATTAAAATTTCCAAGCTCTTGCTGCCCTCACAAACACGGGTTCTTTGTGCGCGCCCCCCAGGGCCCGGAGTCCCATCTCTTTCAAGTATGTTTTTTTTATGATATTTACTGGATCCATCTATCGAGGTTTGTCTGTCCTTATTCCTTATTGATATAGGTGTTTTATCTAAAAATCGAAGCCGATCTTTTGAATGATGTTTGTAATACTTCAACTTCCTAATTATTTTTTCTTTTGATCTTTAGATTTTAAATCGTATAAAAGACACTTTTATTTCTCTTATTTTAATTTATAAAGTGGCATGTGCTGCCGGTCTTATAAGTCACATTGAGGGGGTGTTTAGATGGAAACAAAAAACCGTCGTTTTAAAAATAATTTTATGGTATACGAAATAAATATGTGAAAAAATTAATCTCGATCTACAAAAAAATACTTTCTAAAAGTACTTTTATTAAAACCTAAACACCCCTTGAATCTGTGATCTTTTATTTTGGGGCATAACCACTTGTTCCATGACCCATGCTTTCAAATGTTTGAAGCCATGGTTTTACAGAAGTGGTGAACAATAGCTTTTGAGGATAAAATTCAGAGATTCCTTATTTAAATGTCAATTTTGCACTTTGTCCTTTTGCTGCCAGACTGATTTGTTTGAAATTTAAAATTACACTTTATGTAATTATCAGATATGGTAATTTTGTTCCCTTTCACAAAGTTTACATATATTTTTACAACTCTCAAATGTTAATGGTGTTACATGCCGATAGCATATAAGCTTATTGTTAAATTTATACTTTGCTTCATTCTTTTTAATTAGGAATGAGGGGGCGTACAGAGAGAGAGAATGGGGAGGGAGGATTTGCAGGGTTATATAGAATATCTGCCACCTTTTCAGAAAAAATATTTAAAAAAGAAAAAATTAGGGATGAAAAACTCGTTCTCAAGAACAAGTTCTTTGTTGATCTAAAATTCACGTTGCCAAGAGCCATTTTGCCTATAGCAGCCTGATAAATAGTTCGTACTGAGTAGTATTTTATCCTGTAGAAGAAATGTGAGGGGTTGTATATGTCTTGCTTACTCACAGGTTCGGTTCTTTTCTTCTATATATTATCTCTCTCTTTCTTCCCCCCAAAATTTCTCCGGCAAGCGTCTATTAAAAAAAAAACAAAGAAAGAAATCCACAATCAGGCAAAAACCCTTTCCTCTTATTATGTTATTCCCGATCCCCTTCATTCTCAGTTTCTCAGGCAAGAATCAAGTTTCATTCTTTCGGCCAATTGCAAAAAGTAACAGAGAGAGTCGGGGTTAGAATCAGAAGCAAAGAAGTGGATAATTGCAGGGATATCAGTAGAGTCTCTAAAGCCCATAAACACGAGATTGAAGAAGAGAAGAGGAGAAGCAAGCTTTCAAAAAAGAGAGCAAAGGTTTTCATTAGATCGTCAAAATTTGCAGCAAGAACTGGGTTTAACGCATCAGAATAAGAGATGGGTTCATCTGCCACTGATGATTTGTGAAGCTCTGAGAGCGTTTGGGGCCGAGATTGATATAGAGAAGAAGAATGAGGATGGAGAAGATAAGGCGAGGGTGAGTAAATCTGTAAATGTATTCTTTTGAAGAATGCTCTTTTCTTGATGAGGTGCAGATCTGATCCTCTGAAAATGGCTGCTCTCACTAATGGCTTCTGGGAGCCACCTGCTCTGAAAGATGAAGTCGGTGACAGAACAAAGAGGGAGGGAGGGAGGAGAGAATGTTAACGGACGTTTGGAGTATTTAACAGATATGGTAATTTTGCTCCCTTTCACAAAGTTTATATATATTTTTACAACTCTCAAATGTTAATGGTGTTATATGCCTATAGCATATAAGTTTATTGTTAAATTTATACTTCGCTCCATTTTTTTTCAAATTAGGAATGAGGGGGCGCACAGAAAGAGAGAGAATGGGGAGGGAGGATTTGCAGGGTTATATAGAATATCTGCCACCTTTTCAGAAAAAATATTTAAAAAAGAAAAATTTAGAGATGAAAAACTCGTTCTCAAGAACAGGTTCTTTGTTTATCTAAAATTCACTTTGCCAAAAGCCATTTTGCCTCCAGCATCCTGATAAATAGTCCGTACTGAGTGGTATTTTAGTAATAAATTTTACTGTTCAGCCTTTACAGCATTTGCGTAAAAAAGCCCAACGTACGTACACGTAGTCTATATAGTTTTCAGATCTCACGTGTTTAAGTTTCATTGGATTTGCGAGCAGAATTTTTTCATAAAAAAAATTCTTGCTAAACAGTGTGTGGATGGGGTGAAGGAAAAAAGAAAAAAGAAAAAAGAGGGAGAGAAGAATGTAAGTATTGACCTGTATGTGAAGGGAAGATCGTTCACAAATATCGCCAGATACCTCCACCGCTCCTGATCTTTAAACCGATCTACAGTTGGCTCTCAACCTGTAGAGTTCATATATATATATATATATATATATATATAAAAGAAAGTATTGTCACCAAAAAAAAAAGACATGTATATAAAAAAATTAAAAATAACTGGTCATAGGACGTGGAAATGTGCTTGTGGATTCTTGCTTCAATAACCTTCAACTTTAAGCTATCTGAAACTAATTATTAAGGTTCCGTTTGGATCAGCGATTGAAAAAGTAACTTATTAAAAAAATAGCTTTTGAAAAAGTGAAGTTGAGTAAAAATTAAATTAGATGAGTTGAATTGTGTTTGAATTGAAGTTCAGAAAAGATAATTTGTAAAAGTGATATTAGTAAAATGTTGTTTGGATTATGATTGAGTAAAAATAACTTTGGTTATAAAATGACTAAAATGAGTCTAAATTTTAATAAATAATGAAACATGATTTAAAAAAATGATATCACATAATACAATGAAATTAAAATAATTTAAATGAAGAAGTCAAATTTAATAAGTGAATTCAATTTTAAAACTCTAGAGAAATTATAAAAGATATTTTAAATATAAAGTGAAGTATGAAAAAGTAAAAGTATATTTCTATGAGCATAATTAAAAATAAAAGTATATTTCTAACTTATTTATTACTTTCAACTAATTTTAATTGATTTTTTTGTTATCTACAAATTAGTTATTTGAGGCTTATAATAAGAACCAAAGAAGGTAATAAATTTCTTAACTTTTTCTCTCTCTATATTTTAGAAGTTATAAATAATAAGTTATAAGTTATAAGTTGTTAATTTTAGCTTATAGTTTATTATATCTTTTCATATAAAAACCCGATTGCAAAAAAAACCCATCCAAATAGTATTACCGTGTCAGTCGGGCTTATGCTTATAAGCTATTTATAAGCCCATAATAATGGATACCATACAGTCATTAAGTCCTCGCTTTTCAGCAACGACATGGTTTGGTTTCTTGATTAATGTAACAAAAGAGATCAAACAAAATATTTCCAAGGTGGGACGAAAGAAATAACCTGGCCAATGTGGAGAGAAGCGAAGGTCTCAAAAATGGCAGCTTCAGATTCTGTAGACTTGATTTCTCTTTTCAGATTCAGAGATCAACGAATGCGAAATGCCTCTCATCCAATTATGTCTTGCTTCAGCCTTTGTGGTCAACAAGTCAAGTCAACTAAAGTCGTCCCGCGTATTTGTCGCTTTTGTGGATTGCCGCGTTGCTTCATTTGTATCCGTCACTTTTGTAATATGAAGGGCCTACTTTATTGGGGCATGTGCTCTTTTTCTCTTCCTAAGCATTTCGAAAAGGAGGCCAAATTGAGCATGATTAACGGCAACTAAGTCCACCCAACACCTTTGCTTGTTTATTTTATGTTTCTTATCGGCAACTTTATTCATTTTAAAACAAGTTGCGGTGAATAAAAGTACACTTGTATTAATGGTTGTTGTTCTTTAACAGAAAAATGCTACTTAAACTTTATAATCCCCTAATAGTATGTTAAATTTCATAAATCCCAATTTGGTCTCAAGAGACCAAATTGGGATTATCATGTGAAAGGAAAAGACCAAATTGCTCTTAATTTTAAATATTGTTTTTAAAATATCACAGTCCCCACTGGCCGGCCGGTCACCGGAGCTCCGGCGACCGGCCGACAATTGGTCACCGGAGTTCTGTCGATCGAAAAAAATTTTTTTGAAAATTTTTACAAGTTTAGTATAACGGTTAACAACTTTTGTAATGATATTAACAACTTCAGTATAGCAATTAACAACAGGTTTTCTAGGAAATTCAACAAACTCCGGCGACCGGAAACAATTTTTTTGAAAATTTTTACAACTTCAGTATAACGGTTAACAACTTTTTTAATGATATTAACAACTTCAGTATAGTAATTAACAATAGGTTTTCTAGGAAATTCAACAAACTCCGGCGGCCGGAAACAATTTTTTTGAAAATTTTTACAATTTCAATATAACCGTTAATAACTTTTGTAACGTTATTAACAACTTTAGCATATCAGTTAACAATAGATTTTTCAGAAAATTCAACAATCGGTCGTCGGAGCTCCGGCGGAAGAAAACAATTTTTTTGAAAATTTTTACAACATCAGTATAACAGTTAAGAACTTTTATAATGCTATTAACAACTTCAATATAGCAATTAACAATAGGTTTTCTGGAAAATTCAACAAGCTCCGGTGACTGGAAACAATTTTTTTGAAAATTTTTACAACTTCAGTTTAACGGTTAACAGTTTTTGTAATTATATTAACAACTTCAGTATAGCGGTTAACAATAGGTTTTTGAGTTTGTTAAAGGCATTACTGAAGTTATAAAAATGCCACTTTTTGAATTTTTTGAAAAACTTGTTGTTGACTGCTATATCGAAGTTGTTAACCGTTATACTGAAGTTGTAAAATTTTTTTTAAAAAACATAATTGTTAACGTTACACTGAAGTTGAAAATTTTTACAATTTCAGTATAACGGTTAACAACTTTTATAATGCTATTAACAATTTCAATATAGCAATTAACAACAGGTTTTCTGGAAAATTCAACAAGCTCCGGCGACCGGAAATAATTTTGTTTGAAAATTTTTACAATTTCAGTATAACGGTTAACAATTTTTGTAATTCTATTAACAACTTCAGTATAGCAATTAACAATAGGTTTTTCGAAAAATTAAAAAAGTGACATTTTTATAACTTCAATAATGCCTTTAACAAACTCAAAAACCTATTGTTAACCGCTATACTGAAGTTGTTAATAAGGTCATAAAAGTTGTTAACAGTTATATTGAAGTTGTAAAAATTTTCAAAAAAATTGTTTTCGGTCGCCGAAGTTTGTTGAATTTCCTAGAAAACTTGTTGTTAATTGCTATACTGAAGTTGTTAATATCATTATAAAAGTTGTTAACCGTTATACTGAAATTGTAAAAATTTTCAAAAATATTGTTTCCGGTTGCCGGAGTTTGTTGAATTTCCCAGAAAACATGTTGTTAATTGCTATACTGAAGTTGTTAATATCATTATAAAAGTTGTTAACCGTTATATTGAAGTTACAAAAATTCTCAAAAATTTTTTTTTCCGATCGACGGAACTCCGGTGACCAATTGTCGGCCTGTCGCCGGAGCTCCGTTGACTGCCGCTGTCAGAGCTCTAGTGACCGGCCGGCCAGTGGGAGCTGTGATATTTTAAAACCAATATTTAAAATCAAGGGCAATTTGGTATTTTCTTTTTACATAATAATTCCAATTTGGTCTCTTGAGACCAAATTGGGATTTCTGAAATTTAACATACCATTTGGAGATTATGAAGTTTAAGTAGCATTTTTCTGTCTTTTTTCCTTCTTTAATTTCTTTATTTTGTCTTTTACATTGAAATTTCCAAGCTCTTGCTACTCTGACAGGCGCGAGTTCTTTATGCGCACCCCCGAGTCCCATCTCTTTTGATTATTCTTTTAGAGAAAATTATAATTAAATTTCATAAAAAAATTGAATTACTCTAAATTCTGTTGACAATTTGAGGAACATGTATTGACAAGTTTCAGTATAGAAAATGACAATTGATTTATGCTGTTTAGTTGTTATTGAGATTTTTTAGTAATTAAATCTTCTTCGTGAGATTTCATAGTAATTCTCCTTTTTTTTTAATGATATTTACTGGATCCATCTATCAGGGTTTATGTCTGTCCTTATACCTTATTAATATAGGTGTTTTATCTAAAAATCGAAGCCGATCTTTTGAATGATGTTTGTCATCCTTCAACTTCCTAATTATTTTTTCTTTTGATCTTTAGATTTTAAATAATACAACAGACACTTACACTTTTATTTATAGAGGGGTAGGTGCTGACGGTCTTACAAGTGACATTGAATCTATGATCTTTTATTTATAAGGAAACTTTTATGTCATTAATTACAAAGGCCACTTTGATACCATGTGGTGATGGCTACATAAAATTGTTCAGTTATCAGATTTCATGCCCTCGGAGCTGATGGTTTTAATGCAAGATTTTAGTCTCCAAGTTTTTTCAGGCGGATCAATTTTCGCTAACTCTAGACTACAAGGATTGAGATCTGTCCATATCTGTAATAAGCTTTACGTGTAATGTTAATTAATTTTGCTAAAAAATTTAAATGTTTCATCTTTCATACGTAGTGTTTTCAAATGTCTTTGTAATTTGGTGATATGAAAAAAAATTTTATAAGTGAGAAGTTACAGATTTTATCTCGCATGTAATTTGAAATCGTTAGTATTTGTTTTCTTGATTAAAAAAAAATATAAATTCACCATTTCTAGCCATATATTTTTAAGGATTAAGGTGCATCTAAGTATTTCTTAAGCAGGACTCAGTATTCAAAATTAATTTGTAGATTATTCGACATTCTAAAGGTAGAATTACACGGAGATCTCATGGTTTCAACTTTATCACCAAAAGATCCCAATCGTCATTGACAACTGATTGGGACCTTATCGTAATAGAGTTAAAATCATGAGACCTTAGTGTAATTCCTCCTATTATTTATGTACCATTCAATATTTTGAGTTTAAGCGTTCATCGTTGCAAAGAAAATACTATAAGGTCAAAATTTGTGCCAAAACCACGTTAATAGTTTAGTATATAATTTGGTGTTATTAAAACGATATTTCGGAGTGCTAGATAAATCATAAATTAGTTTAATTATATGTTGAATGGAAAGCTTGTGATGAAAATGGATTTTATTTTTAGAAGAAATCGCATTGAGATCTTGCCTAAAGAAGATAATTACTAAAAGATTACAATCAGTTGTCAATAATAAGTGAGGGTATAAATATTAACAAGTGATGGTTTAATTATTGATAATTAATTAAATTTTTTTAGTAATTATGTTTTTTTAGTTGGATGTCAACACGATTTTCCTTTTATTTTTTTGAAACTTTTCAGTTTTTACCCTCCTAGCCTCCACTATCGCTCGTAGTCAATTCGTCCAGCGTTGGTCAATTTTGTGGATTGGCGAGTTGCTTCATTGCATTTGTACCGCACCGACCCTTTGCTTTTGCCTTTCGGAAAATATTATTGGGCTCTGGAGGGCCAACTTATTTGTGTATCTTAATTCGGGCGTATGCTTGTTTGGATTTTTTTTTTTAAATGCTTTAAATACATAATGCCTGAATTAGAAACAAAAGTGAGAATAGGAGGATCACTTGACTCTTAAAAAATTTGGATTAGTTTTTTGGAATTATTTTAAATAAACATATGAAAGAAGTTTAGTATAAAAGCACTCCTGAAACTATGATTAATTTGGGGTTATCCAAACGTACCTTAATGTTCTTGTTTGGAATGGAGTAAAAATTTAGTAATAAATACTGCACTGAACCGAACCACTTTTATTACGCCATCTCCCCATATCATATCCCAATTTAATGTGCCTACAAATGCAGCTATAAAGTGTAATGGTATCTTGATTAAGCATTACTCCTTCCATTCCTTTTTATAAGAAACAATTAACCGAATATCTGTAATCAAAATATTAGTCAAATGCAATGAATAGGTAAAACTTATAACTCTTTCTTCAAAAATACTCTTATTCATGTGGAGAGAGGGTTGAGTTAAAGAAGAAAAGTTAGCTAATAGCAAAAGGAGACTCGTTAACAATTCAGTTTCATAATAAATACAATGATATTAATGTGAGTAATTAAATGAAGGTAAAATAGGAAAATAACAAAATTTTTTAGAGACATCTTCTAAATATCTACTCCTCCGGTCCTTAATATAGGACCCAATTCTTAAGTTGGTTTTGGTCCTAAATATAAGACCCATTTATCATATTTATCAATTTTCTCTAAATTACCCCTATAGATACTCTCTCAACCATAATCAAATAGAAGAGGGAGATGAGGTATTAAAAAAGATGATTATGGTGTTTTAGGAAAAATGTGGCACTTTTTTTATAATTAACTAACTTACCTAACTTCCTTAATCTAATCAAATTAGTTAAATGGGTCTTACATTAAGGACCGGAGGAGTATTATAAATAGAAATAAGAGATATATAGAAAGTGTCTCTTATAAAAGGACGGAGGAAGTAAAGAAATAAAGAGAATAATGAAATCTCATATCATGATATCTAACACAAGATGGAGTGTTTTTTAGCAAGGATATTTTAGGAAAGATAACAAATATTTATTACAAATAACTAATTTAATTAATTTTCTTAATCTTTCTAAATTAGTCAACTAGATTTTATATTAAAGACTGGAGGGAGTATACACATAATCTAATGGCCGGATAAAACACTTCGAACAAAACTGAGATATTGCTGACCAAAAAGAAAAAGTTGCTACATAACAATGGGAATTTTCAAAATGACGTGAGAAAAGCAGCATTCATGCATGTTTTCTTTATTGATTCTTGTGTTATTCTCTTTGAGAAGAGTACAGAGTGAGTTTGGAGGAGCTTGGAATTTTAGATAAAAGAAAGAAGGACCAAGCTCGAGCCAAGAGGGTGGTGGGACGTTTATGTATATACATAACACTGAAGGAGATGAAGGATGTTTATAGAATGGGGGAAGCTGCATATATATAGATGGCTGGTGCCCAGTACTCCTTATAGTAAAATGAAGAAGTAGGGCGATGGAACCCATGAAAGATGCATATTTGCTTTTGTGTGCGCCTCATGATTCGATCTTTGATATTAATGCAAATATAGAATTGGAAAGGGAAAGAAAACAAAGTGGGAATAAATTTTAATATTAATGGAGGAACATGATCATTATCAAGTGCGTGCTAGGAAGAGGAAGAGCCGAACATTTGATCAAGAAGGATGATGAAAGCCATGGCAAGGGCGGAGTCCATATCGGGGTGAACGATGAGACGGAAGACGTCAGCCCCAAAAGCCACTCCTCCTACCGCGGCTTCCTTCTTCTTTATCTCCGCCACCCTTCTCCTTTTCTCGTCGTACACCTCGCAGCGGCGCTGCGTGTATGATCCCCCTATCTCATACTTGCTCTCACCTCCCGACGACGACGGCGGCGACAAGCTCATCACCTGAGCCAAACACTTTGCTTTCAGCAGATTCACCTGCCTTTTGGCTGAGTATCGAGGTTTCACCCCGCTCTCTCCTTCGAACACTAGCCATTTGTCTGCCAAACCCAACCTCTGCATGGATGGCGTTCAAATTCAAGCACTAAAAAAGTTACAATTCATTTTCCATGATCCTAATCATTAAAAAAAAAAAGTGTATATATGTACAAATCAAATCAAAGGAAGCACTAAGAAATGACTGATAAAGTAATATATGTTGTGATACCTTGCGGCGGATGGTGAGGAGCGGAGTCCCGGCGGCATCCATGAGGAGGATCTCATCCTTAGATCGGGCGGAGTAGTTATCGACCCTGAAAACAAGATTGCCTTGGCAGTCGAATACCGTGAACCCGTTGCAGTTTAGCAGAAGGGACTTCTTCCAAACTGTGAGCACCACCGGCACCTCGCCGTCTATGGAGGATGTCTTTTCATGATCCGAGCAGGTTGCAGCGGCAGCCGCGTTTGGGTGGACCTTTGTCATCGCCGAGCTCAGGATTTCCAGCTTTTCTATTGGAGATCTAGAGAGGGAGAGAGACGATTAATTGGCAATAATAGTTTCCCGATCTACTCTATTGACTTTGTTGGGAAGGTGTTAGAAAATCCTCCTCCTCAACTCTTCTAATATAAAGCTAGGAGTCAGCTGGGGATGACAATGTCAATACACGAGCCAGTCACGAGTACATGAAAGAGGAAAAAAAATCGATATGGTCTGGGTTCAGTTAAACATTATTAACTGAAAGCTCAGCTCCACCAAACATCGAGTCTTCATTGGACCACGAGTGCGCCCCCATTACATGATGCGTCATCCGACCTGTTGACCCGATTAAATCGCCCTAAATTCACGTCCGGACAAGTTATGGTGATTGCTTTTCTACGCCTAACATGTATGTTTATGATAATGCATTCAATTAATTAATTAATTAAACTAATTATAGTTAGCACTTAGCAACCGACATACGCACATTAGCTGATTAACCCCATCCTGTGGCACTTGAAGCTTCAAAGTCACCTTTCAACATGATTTTTAATTGATTAGCATCATCATGCATAATATTATACCATTTACGATACAAATGGGCAACACATTAAAGAAAAAATTTGTGTGGCTCAGGAACGTTTTGCGGTGCAGGGGCAGGACGGCCCTCCCATATTCCTCCCAAGATATTTTTTTTGCATCTTGTCAACTTACTTTCTGTTTATATGCTTTTATCACCATTATGGCTGTCGAATATTTTCATTATAATAACAATTGTAACATTATTTTGTTATTAATTAGTCCATCATTTTATAATCCTCAAGTGATGCAGACCATTAGACTGCATCTTATCCTGGCTGGGTCCGGGCGGTTTGAGCGACTCCTCATTTCTCCTAAAGACAAAGGAAAATGGCAGACCCTGTAACTCTATAAGGGCATTAACTAATTACAATGAAATTAAGATCACGAATTTTAAAAATTTCATAACCACGCCATTTGTATATTTTTAATAGTTAGATTACACAAACACAACTAAGGGTGAGTTTGGATTAGCGGTGAGAGAAGAACCCGCATCATGCATTCTCTCTCCTCCCTCATCATGGGCCCCACCTATCGAAATGTGCAGTGGAGAAGCTTTCTTTGACCAGCAACAGCGGAGAAGCTAAAAGCAGGAGCTTTTGGAAAAAAGTTCGTTTCCAGTATAAGTGCCTGTTTGGGTCAATGTTTGCTGGCACGTAGCATAAATTCAAGATAAGCTCAATTCAATTTTTTGGTATTGTTTGGGAGGGCTCACTTGCATTAGGCTTATTGAATTTTAAGGTGTCTAACCGTGCTTTTAAAATAAGCCAGAGGAGGGAGTTTATTTTCAACTCTGAAGAGCTTATTACTGTTCTACGTGTGTTAGAAAATTTTTATTCCCTCTTTCTCTCCCTTATGGCATTATTATTCCCTTGTGATTTCACTTGTTTATTTTTATCCAAACACTACCCACAAGTCCTCTGCCATTCCCACTTGCTTCGTCGCCTCCTCCCAGAAGCTTTGTCATTGGTCGACGTGAACTGCATTGCATCACTAGCGTGAGATGTAGTGTTGGGTGTGTAGCATGCTGATTGTTGCTCCTTTATCGTAAGTCCAAGTTGCATTCGCCTTGTGCGAGCTGGTGTAGCCATCTGCAACCGAGTTCGCCACCGTTTGTTAGTGCATGTGACTTATGCGTCGAGATCTCAGCTTCTGAGTGCAATACATTGTTAGATCTACCTCTAGCAGCCTTCAGGTGGTTGGATCTATTACAAGTTGGCTGACTTATTTTGTTGTCCTACTTTTCCCGTTTGATCCCTTGTGCTTGCTTGAATGTGCCGTCGTCCATTCTCATTGGTGGAAGGCTGAAAAATAAAACTGATTTCTAGGTCGATTGAAAATAAGCAACTTGTTTTCCATAGGGAAGCTAAAAATTATAACTGGAGGAATAAAATTCTTGTTAGTTTGTGATGTCCTATGAATTCATATTTCAACAATTGTTATTCGTGCTATTGAATATTAATTTTGTAAGACTCTCTTTGTTAGGAAGAATATTCTTGGCGATATCAACAAGTTTATAATTTAATGATAACAAAATTATTAGATGGTAATACAGTTAAAAATGGTAATATAGTGCAACAATTTCCATTCATAACCTTATAAGAAGACATTCAAGCTCTGACACCTTTTTTGAACAAGTTGAAAATGGTAATATAGTTGGCGAATATGATCAGGCTGAATCTAGTCAACCATCGTCTTCAAATGTTACATCACAGTCTTCATCGCATATAAATTGTGTCCGTGATGCAATCAGAGATCAAATTATCCATAACTTATCAGTTGATTAATTATGTAATACTATTTCGTTTCACTTTGTTGCAATACTACAAATTGGAGTTCAAAATATTTTTATCCATTCAAATTATATTTCGCTTTATATTTGCAATATTTTTTTTTCATGTCTCTGATGTTTTTAAATTTAATTCACTCAATAAATTTCACTTCTTCATATTAAATTAATTTAAATTCATTGTATTATGTTAATTTATTTATTTTTATCATGTTTCACTTTATATTTAAAATATTTTATATGATTTCTCTAAAGTTTTCAATTTTAATTCACTCATTAAATTTCACTTCTTCATTATATTATCTCAGTTCAATTTTTTTTCATGTTTCACTTTATATTTAAAATATTTTTTATTTATGTAAAGTTTTAAAATTTAATTCACTCATTAAATTTGACTTCTTCATATTAAATTATTTTAATTTTATTGTATTATGTAAAATTATTGTTTTTAATTATGTTTCATTATTTATTAAAACTTATACCTATTTTGGTCATTTTACAACTAAACTTTTTTTACTTAACCATAATCCAGACAAACTTTTACCAATCTCACCTTTGCAAATTAACTTTGCTAAACTCCAATCCAAACATAATTCAGCTTATCCAATTTAGCTTTTATCCAACTTTACTTTTTCATAAGTCAAATTGACAATAAGTTACTTTTTTAATCCTTAATCCAAACGGACTCTAAGTCCATTTACCTCCACGGTGAATTCAAACATATGTTTTAAGAAAAAAGTTACTTTTTTCAGCTTTTACCGGTGGAAAAGTCAGTTTGGTGGCCTTCACTGTGATCCCAAACACAAGCTAATACTATTGAAAATTCCCAAAAAAAAAAAAAAAACTGCTGAGATGACAAAGTTTGTACATGAAACTTACATAACTTGATAACTAAAAAGCTCATTAACTAAATTATTCCAAGAAGTTTTTTCCCCCCAAAAGATTAATGATCTACGAAAAGATAAAGTTGACCTTGCCACCCAAAAGTTACCTAGTGACCGGTCGATAGCTGGCGGCGGCGGCGATAGAGCTCCAATATACAAGAGCATCCCAGTCCACGCCTAGTTTCTTTCATCCCCATACGAGAATCTTGGTCTTTTTCCAAAATTTGAAGCCTTTCATTATAATTAAGGCCCTTTACAGAGTTTTATAAATGCCATTGTATACTAAAGACAAGTCCCTTTGAATAATACACCTTTAATTTAACCAATCACTTCTATACAAATTCTATGATGGTGTTTTACCCAAAAAAAAGAAAAGAAAAGGAAGTTATTATATTATACTCCTTCCAATCTTATTTATATAGGCTTACGTGTTGGTTCTTAATATATGATCATTTACTAATTGATCTTACCCTTCTCTCTAATTTTGATAAGTTGTAAACGTCTTTAAGATTTAACAAATTACAACTAACGGTATATTTGCGTCATCACTTATCTTTTATCTCTATTTTTTCCCCCTCCCTTGTTTGGCTGACGTGTAACATGTTAGATCTAGAGCATCAAGTATTCCCTTTCAATTCTTTGAGCTCACAATTTTGTAATTTAATTAGCACTCCAATTATTGGTTTATTGGTCTCACAATAATTGGGAAGTTAAACGATCGTGAAACCAAACTCAACAATGCATAGATTTAAATAGCGCTAAACAAGTGCAATTTAGCCGTAGCTTTTCTTGTTTGATGTTCCTCGCCAATGCCAGCTGATTTTGTTAAAGATGCAAATTAGTCAACGCATGAAATCTGCACAATTTCCTCCCAGTAAAAATCAATATATTTTAGTTCTTAATATGAGAGCTAATTTGACTTTTAATTTAGTCCTAAATATAATATCCTAATTCACTTTGTCTATCATATTTATCTATTTTTTAAGGTAATCTTTGAAGTAGTTCCATATGTTAAAGATTTCATCAAATAGTAGTTCTAGCTAATACATATGATTAGTAAGAATATTTTATGAAAAACAACACTTATTTATTATAAATAACTAACTTAACAAACTTTCTTAGTCTATTTAAATTAATCAACTAACTTTTATATCAAGTACTGTGGTAGTATTTTACTTTGAAATCAAGCATTACTTGAAGGAGTTGTTAAGTTTCTGTAAAACAAAAAAAGAGTTGTAAGATATTGTAAGTTAAATTATACTGTTATAAAATTGTAACAAAAAATACCACTATAAAATTAATGGAAAAATATACAAACTAATAAAGCGAGTAGATATGGCCTCTAAACCTTGGAGAATAAACCGAATTAGTTTCAATTACATAATGAAGATGATTATTATGCATATAGCATGATTTTACAATGTGAATCCTTTATGCCCCATTTGGTGTGCTGGAACTGGAGGCAGATAATTAGAATTGAAATTGGAATCAATATTTTGACACGTTTGGTAGGCTAAATCAGGTGTCATGGAACTACAGTTTATAAAAAACGATGGAACTGAGTTCTATTGGCTGTCCCATAAAACTGAGTTTCAGTTCCATTTTCATGGTCATATTTTCCCCTATATCCTTCCATCTTCCATATCATTCATCCCCCTCCCCCACCCACCTCTGTCACCCCCATCCCATCTTCTTCTTCAACCAACAAATGTCTCCATGGAGCTTGATCTCGGATGGTTCTCTAACATACTCCATCTTGATCTTTGATATCGACTTTGCTGAGGGTGTTGCGACTCAGCTTCTTCATCTTCTCCTTCTCTCTCTTCGATCTACGACCTTCTCCCTCTTCGATTGTTTACAATGTATCGATTATGAGTTTTTAATTGGTGAATTATCTTCTCGTCTCCCCTTTTTT